TTAAAAGCACAATTACTGTTGATTAGCTAAATTTAACATGTTGGGAAAAAATAAAACATAAAATGTTGAATGTGCAGAAGTTATTATTTTATGCTTTATGTTTCTCCAACATGTTAAACTCAGCAAATAAATAAAAACAGTGCAATTGTGTACATTTGAAAGACGCTGAACTAAAAAGTGTGCCCTGCTTCTGTGTAACACCAGGTGCTCAACTCAAATCACTCACGGCACATGGCCACACACGTCTGTAAGTCGAAACCAGGAGCTTTTCTTCAGATGTTCAACTTGCTGTATTTTATCTTCTCTGAAAAATGATCCACCCACCTTCCCCGTCAGCGGAACATTTAAACAGCTGTCTGCAATAACCGAACTAATAGAGCAGGTTATCCAGAGTGACTCACACTGGAAAGCTCACACTCTTCCACTGAGAACACGCCGCACTGCGAAGCACCTGTGGAAACAACAGTTAAGCATCAAAGCAGGAGAAGCTCTATTCTAAACGGGAACGTCTGCTGTATAATCACTGCGCTAGTTTGTTCAGTGCACTGTATTTTAACATATAGCTGGATAAATAACGTATATTGCACTACTGCTTGCTGAAGCAACATCAACTGACACAAGCACTGACCTTGGAATCACATAATTAAGAAAATTGTAGCTACAGTTTTTGTATTGCTTGAGGTGAGCAGGTCAGAGTCAATGTCCACTTGATTTATGGTGCAGTAATTATTATCAACATTACTTAAAACCTTACGGAACAGAAGTCAAATGTCAACATAGTTTTGATGACACATATTACTCATTAGCCACATTTTAACATTATGCACAAATCATGTATGAATGTGCTTTAATTTAATAATTCAAAATGTAACAATCAGCATTAAACAATCAAACTGAAGAATGAATAAATAGAATTAATTCACACAAACACTGAAAACAACAGACAGACTTCCAGACGTTCTGCAGTGGACACAGACATTCCACTTTTTCTGCCCCAGGGCCAGTGAAAAAGAGTGTTCGTGTGATAGGCTGGACGGTGATAGGCTGGACTTAACGAGGTACAACAACACAAAGAAAAAATAAACAAACAAACAACATAAAGAGAGCATGGAAATAGTGTATAACAGAACAAAGGAACAGAATGAAGGACTTTTTTTAAAAGACTAGACTCAATTTCTTTTGTTAGTAGACCTTTTAACATCTCTACAAACCGCTCATCTATTTGCATCTAAAATGAAGACATTCTTTAGTGCTAAATTACAATCTTACCACAGAATCGTCCTAAGAGAAATACAAACAAGTGCTATTCACTACAAATTTTGTGTATGTTAGCAGAAATGTCCCTTGACATTTCGTCAAATTAGATGTTTTCGGGGTATTTTGTTGAATTTTTAAATGAAAATAAGTCAATACATCCTCTACAGCAGGGTATTTCATTAAAATTCAGTAAGGTCCAGTTAGAGAAAATTTCCTCAAGCAAGTCCGGAACATCATAATGTCTAACTTGCATTATGATTCAGTGCCATATACTGTATACTGAAGTAGCCTAGTAGGTATATAAACATCTTATACAGTCAACAACTGAATGTCAAATCAAATAAAGTACAATTCAGTGATTTTTCAACAATATTTATTGTCAGTTTCTCTTTTTATCTTTTTAATCTGGCTCACTTTCTTCTCCAACTGCTGTGTCTCACCTCGTCACTCCCCTGTGTGTGCCTCACTCAGTCCACTCTCAGTGCTCATCGTAATGCACAGATCTGATTGGCTGAGTAGCGTCACGTGTGATATTTAGGATACATGTGATTGGTCTTTGAGTTTCCCGGGCTGCTAAACCGGTACCGTTAAGGCTAGAAAAGTCACGCTGATCAAAATAGGACCACCCTGTTGAAATAAAATAATTCTCACAATATCATATTTAAGTGTGTTTTCTGCAGAGCAGAGGTCACTAATAGGCAGACCGCGGTCCGAGTCCGGACCCTGACGCTGCCCTATGCGGACCTGGACCACGGTCTGCCTATTAGTGACCTCTACTCTACAGAGAACACACTTAAATATGATATTGTGATACTGGCAGAGAGTAAGACACAGGTGACCGTGAGCTGCTGTGAGAAATGCGTAAAAAAGGCACATAGCAACATACAAACTCATGGGTCAGGTCACCACTAGACACAGGCTTCATCCTGACAGTGACTCCCCCCCACCCCACACACACACACACAATGTACAAAACTAAACCCACACCCCAACACTGAACATCACAATAAACACATACACATAGCTTAAACTAACAAACAACAATAAACAACAACGTTTGGTCCTTTCTTATGAGGGTGTGCGTCTACCATGAGCCTTAGCGTGGCCGCTTGCATGGCCGGGCCTCCCAAACTCATTGGAGCCAGCGCCAGCCAGAAGCGGGGCGCTACCATATTTTCTTCTGCCAAATTTCTAGTTTAATATGCTGAAATAAAATAAGACATAAAATATAAAATGTGACATAACTTTTGTACAGACCAGCAAATAAACAGTAATTGTGCACTGAAATGTGCAGAAGTGTGTTCTCTGTAGAGGATGTGTAGCTTATTTTCACTTAGAAAGTCAACTAACCATCACACACGAGTGTGCAAAGAGTAGGATGTGGTGACCGAAAGCTGGCCTCAGTCACGGCATTCATGTTCGTTTGAACTCGGGCTAATAATGAGGGGTAAATATAATTTTAGGACTTTAGAATACAGTAACACAGCACTGCAGGTTCCAGTCATTTATTCGTACTCATAAGAGTGTATATAAGTATTTCACAACAGCTCTGAATGTGGCTCAGCCAATCCGATTTCAGAACCGGCACTATCCATTTCATAACTGATATTTTGAAGGGTCACATCCTTTTACATAATGCTTAATCTCTGACGATTAATCGATGCTTAATCGATGATGATTGAGTAAAAAGTGCATCCCTAGTCCATATTTAACAGAGTTTTCTGTATGCTGTACCAGCACTGTGTGAAATTTGTAAAAAAATTTGCTTGGCCCAAATCGTATAGAAAACCATAAGTGGTTAAGATTAAGGACAGGTGAGGTCATTGTAACTTCCAAAAAGTCCAATAAAACTGTTCTCACTAACGTTTCAACTATTTCCTTGTGAGATCAGACTGGCTTCACATTGTGAATGCAAACTGAAGACTTGGGTTCACTACACGACTTTTAAAGTCTTAACAGATTACAAAATAACTGGGCATCTCACACTCAATCTGACTTGTTTTTGCAGGTTTTTTTGGGCTGCTGAAATGTTGGGGATCACACACTCAACTTTTAAGCTGCTGCTGAAGCGAACGGAGCTCAATGAACTCACAAAAACTCACCTGAAGTCTCACATTCTCCCATTACTAGGACACGCAAATAAACAAACATGGAGCTGCTGCTGGTCTCTCTGCCGTTTGCGCTGATGCAGTAAAGAAGCAGCAGGTAAACGTGTTTAAGTAAGGCTCATGGATTTAAAAATCTTTTTGAGTTTTACATGTATATAAACTCGATTGTGCTTCGTGCCTTAAACTCAGCTCATTAAAAAGCTTCGCTCCACACCTGAGTGACTTTTTGCCATTTTTCTTTTCACATTAATGTTTAACGCTACTTGTTGTATTTTCTTCTTACGTGCTCTCAGTTTTCATTGACTGTTGCAGGAATCAGTTCAGATTAAGTCATTGATCGGTTTAGGCCGGGGTTACACTACACGAATTTTACCCTGATCTTAGCCCCGATTCTCAGTCTGGTCGGCTCTTGTCAGCAGGTTTTTGGGTCAGTCGGATTCGACAGTTGGAGAGAGAATCGAGTCGTGTTTGAGGGGCGCAGACTCAGATTTTTGGCCTCCTGATCGCGTTTCAGACCAGTTGGAGTTTATCAGACGTTTGATTTTTTCGACCCGACTCTGAGTGTAAATTGGTCAACGACTCAATCTGAACAGATTCCTGCAACAGCCAATGAAAACTGAGAGCGCGAAAGAAGAAAATACAACAAGTAAACAAACTGGCGAAAAGTCTCTCATATGTGGTGAAGCTTTTTAATGAGCTTAGTTTAAGGCACAATCGAGTGATCACATTTTTAAATATATGAGTCTCACTTAAACATGTTTACCTGCTGCTTCTTTACTGTGTCGGCGCAGACAGCAGAGAAAACAGCACCTTTGTTTATTTGCGTCTCCTAGTAATGGGAGAATGCATGAGTTCTTGTAAGTTCAGTGAGCACTTTTGGTTCAGCATCAGCTTACAAGTTAAGTAGTGTGTGATCCCCAATATTTCACGGGGAGGCAAAAATTCTGAGTCTGTGCCCCTCACACACGGCTCGATTCTCTCTCCAACTGTCGACTCTGACGGACCCAAAAATCCGCAGACTTGAGCCAACTAGCACAGACTCGGCCAGACTGAGAATCTGGGCTAAAATCGGGGTAAAAGTCGTGTAGTGTAACCCCGGCTTAAGACACTGTCATTGTTTTTCATTGACATTGTTAATCTGACAGTCTTGCAGCGTCTACACTCCTAAAAAAGGGTCCACTGGTGCCACAGAAACAGTTTTAGTTCCCTAAAGAACCTTTCATCTGTTTAAATCTGTGAAATCTGTTTACAGAACCATTTTTGTAGATGTGAGTGTTAAGAACCTTTTTAAAGACCCTCCACCTAAGGTTCTATAGCAATTAAAGATTATTTTTTCCTAGAACCGTTCACCCGAGCCAAGAACCATTTAAGAGTGTAGTCCAAAAAAAAAAAAGACAGAATAACAGCTGTCGTCTGTAGAGGCTTTGAGGAGGGCGGACGTGCGCTCCACTGAGGAGCATGGGATTTAACAGGAGTACAATACAGACTACTAATGACAGTGCTCTGTTGTCATTTACACTTCAAGGACTTCCTTAAAGTGGAGGAGAAGAAGGAAAAGGGGGGACAGGTGGACAAAAAAAGTAAATAAACAAGGTACGATCTGAGACCACAGTCTGTCCAGGTCAGTCAGGTGGTTCAAACACAAGTACTCCGGTGCGGTACAAGGTGCTGTTTGCGACTCTTCATGCCCAAGCCCTCTTCTTTGAAGTCGGCGGGCTTCTGCTGTGAGGTATCAATAAGGGCGCTGGCTACGGCGATGCCTGCAGGGAAAAACACAGGACGGGAGGGAGAAAAGCGGCGGGAAGAGAAGAGAGCGGAGCTGAGCTTCAAAGAACAGTACTCAGCAGTGGAGCAGGTGAAAAGCAGTGTCCTGAAATAAGCGCTTGACCTCCCAAAACAACAGCATAAAAGCTTCACTCAAATGATGAGGCTCTTAAGATCAAGGCATTTATGAAGTTTGAGCGGTGCTCAGCTAACTGTAGCTCTCAACCACCTCAACCTTTAGACGTCTGAGCAACTCCGAATCAAAAAAGCTTGACTTTCTGGTGACTGTTACCTGTTACATTGTTAACTTTTGAAAACAAAATGTTGGTAACGCTTTATTTGGATGGTCCACTGTAGATTCTTTGTGAATGTTCAGTACATATTTTAAGTAACATTCAACTGAATAGTCATTAAATACCACTGAACTTGAATGTTACTTAGATGGTTCACTGTAGATGCTTTGTAAATGCTCAGTCAATCACATTTAACTAAACACCCATTAAATTGAACTGAACTTGAAATTCAGTGTGATATAGTTTATTAAATCTATCCCTGACCCTAAACCTAACCCTAACCTTAATCTCAAGGCAAAACCTACATCTACTCCTAACCCTAACCTTAACCATAATGTTGTTGATAATCAACTGAGGATCACCAGAAAGTTTGTTAATGATTTAAAGTAGCTGTAGAGCATCTATAGGGGACCATCCAAATAAAGTGTGACCACATACAGCCAAGCAAGCTCTCTTATTGGTCAGTACTTCAGGACCTGAAGGCTGTTTGGTCTGATGTTCAGTTACTCCAGATCTGAGACATGACGATAGTTTTTCTCGAGACTCGAAGTCGTTTAGCTTGAGGAATGATGCCATTCTGACTCTGAGTTCGGAGGATGTCCTAAAATGTACCCTGTAGCCCCGCCTAGTGCTAATTAACATATATTTGCATGTTGGTCAATTTGAAAATGAAAAAGCAAAGTGGGAAATGAAAAGTAAATCTCCAGCAGGTGGCGCCGACGTTCGTTTGCATTTGCCTTTACATTCTGACACTTAAAGCGCCTTGATGCCAAAAACTGAATCACGAACTGTCACTTTGCTGTTGATTTACCCATTTTGCATTTTCATTTCCATTTTGTCAGAAATGCAGCTATTGCTATAGCTTTTTTTATAGCTATTACTATAAAAAAAAGGAATGTAAACATTGCATTTTGACTTTAGTTTCGACACGTATTTGACATTTCATGAAGAAAAGCCAAAGTGAAGCTTGGTTTTTTTTTTTCTTTATTAGCTTTTTAATTTCAGATATGGCCATGAAATGCCAGAATAACGACTAAAATGATATAACCACCAGCATAAATAGGAAGTGACTTAGGAGAGGCCATTTTAAGAGAAGAAAAACACTCTAGGCCACTTTAGAACTGCTAAAAACTGTCATGCGAATAGCTTAGTGCTAACAAGCTACTAGAATCCCTTAGGGACGCTAGCATTATCGTCGAGCTGGGTTTTCACATTTATGGGCCGAACTGAGGGCCGAGCTCTAACAGTCATGGTTCACCACTACATTTGAAAAACTGAGTAATAACTCTCGACTTCTACTGGCTGACAACAGCAGAAGTGTGCCTAAGGTCTAATATCAGTGGCTCGGTCGTTCACTAGAGCACAAGCTAAATCCTTCTGCAAATATGAGAAACGACTTTCGACAGTGAGGAGAGGTTCTATGGTCTTTTTGTGCAACGTGTTGATGCATTTCACACACTGCTGCTTCCTTTCTGCAGGAATTAAGACGATTATGCGTGTGCTGTCCAGACAGACAGGTCTGCTGTTTGATCCAACAGTGGCTTTACCCAGCATCCCCTGCTAGAGAGAATATTTAAAAGATCATGAGGCATGGCAGGAGAAGGCACGGGGGCAGAATGTGCTAAAAGTCATGACTGTTTGTGATTGATGATGTGGCTTGTCAAAACATTAGACCAGTCAGATCTGACTTTTTTGCTTCCATTCTGAACAAAGGAAGGTGTTTCACCAGCAAACGGCCACTACGACAGGACTCGGTTGGTCCCATCCGGCACATTTCTACGCCCTGACGAACACGTCTGTTATGATAAGGACACATTTTCTGGGTGACCAGAGATGTCCATCTCAAATGAATTAATTACAGGGCACAATTGGATCGGGGCATGGGTGGTCAGGAGGCTAGAGTGCTCTTAGCTAATGGAACGTCAAACTCATTAAAGCGCCGTCTAGTCGGGTGAGCTGGTTGCATGATTAACCCTGACGAAAGCTGCAGTTTAGAATGAAAACGTGTGAATCTGAGGCATAAACATTTATGCCTTCAGCTTTTAATAACGTGGTAACTTCATAAGTGGGAGAAACACCTATGAGTTCATCAGGCAGAAAGCCGACTCAACAGCAGTGATAAATAAAGGATATAACACTAGCTTAACGCTGCACACGCGTCAGCGCAGAAGTGGTAACACCAGCTGCTTCGATGAGACGAGCCAGTCTTCATCCACCACCTGGCCCTTTATGAAGAGCCTCCTGAGGTAAAGTGCCATCATGTCGCACCAAGGTCAGTCCTCAAACTGATGAGTGTTTCCCGCTAGCAATCAGCCACACTCGAGTCTCCACATGATTCCAAGGTTACTCTCAGAGGAAAGACACCGCTCTCCACCAACGTCTTTTCTTTCTTTATTTTTTTCTGCTTTCCATGAGTGATAATGAGCTTCAGCGTCATCCACGTGGCATCATCACTGTGAGGCCTGCTGGAGAAGAGGTCACTGCAGTCACCTCTGTGTTATGAGATTACGATCATGTATGGGGAAAAGCTTATGTACCCTTAAAGCCACTTGCGCTTCCACTTACAGTACATAATTTTGAAATATGTTTTTTTTTTTAAATGCAGTAATTAAAGGGCCCATATTATGAAATAAAAATGTGATGTATTTTGTAAACACTGTTTCAAAACATGACCATTTGCTCCACAGTCCATACAGTCCATATGGAAACTAAGGTGCAGCCTTTTTTGAATTCACTGTTTTGGTGATGTCATGAACCCCAACACATTTGCATATATTTGCCTATTCAGCCTATATCATTTTATAGGCACAATGACAAAATCTCTGTTTAATTCTAAGAGATCAAAAGAGGTAAACGGTCTTGTAAAAATTAAACAAAACTATGAGTGGGCTTACTGGGAACACAAGCTGGCTTAAAGGGTACAAAGGGGTCTCATTTAAGCCAAGCCGAAACTTTTAATCTTTTATGATCCTTATTTAATTACTATTTTTTTTAAATCAGAAAAAAATGTGCTTGATTATGCTAAAAGAAAGATTGATTTTTTTCATTTTATTATATTATTTGTCACTAAAAATGTCAGTAAAAATCGAAATACATATGAAAAATGTGTTTACTTGGATTTAGGTGGGCTTATTAGGGGCTTCTCCCCTACATTGAGTGATGAGGTGAAAATTATGCACCATAAAAAGTACACAGTAATTGTAATGATGAAACATCACTGATAAAATGGTCTGTATATATATTTTATATAGTTAGTATACATAGTTAGTGTAACTGTAACGGTGAGTAGTCACTTATACTGTTACACTGAACGCTGTGCATTCATATGTATTCATATTTTTTTGCACATATTCACTACCCAACCTCCACACCCTTTATTTACTTAGCATTAGCATTTCCCCAGTGAAAGAACAAACAGCCATGATTAAGCTCTAAACCGGAGGTCTTTTACAGGATTTTTTGACCAACCCAAGTCAACCCTTAACTGTGCCACACAATACCTTGGTTAATTGGAAAGGTCTGAGCTCTTTCTGGCACATATCATAATCTCACTCACTGCTCATCTGCATGACAAAGCTGCCATATGATTATCGGCCCATATCAGTTTCTACCACTAATTACAAACCGCTAGATGCCCTTCAGGTCTCACCTTTCAGGTTAGTGCTGACCAGCGTGGATTTGAAACATCCCCTATGACCTTTTTTATGACCTCTATGAACATTTAGAAGGACTTTTTTCAATACAAAAAACATCTTCACGATCTTCACCATTGCATATAGTGTTAATGCAATATGTAATGATATCAGCATGAGAGAAGTGAATGATAACAGAGCTGGCAGTACACTGTACAGGATGTACAGGATCACTGTATAGTGATTGTTTGGCACATAGTTGTTTGGCAGGCTTAAAAAAATATCTTGTATCCTGAATATTGATAGGCCTAAATTACTAGAAACCTAAACCTCTAAACTGCAATCAGAACAAACCGTCATTCACTCAATTCAAATGACCACTTTTATAATAACAACAACAACATAATTTTTTTCAAAGCATCTTTCAAGACACTCAAGGATGCTGTGCAATAAGATCACAATAAAATATTAACAAAATATTAAATCATAAAAAGATCAACAAGGAGAATAGGAAAAAATGAAAAATGGAGATATGAGGTTTTCTTCTGACAGTATAGTGTATATATATATATATATATATATATATATAAATATATATATATATATACATTTACATATTGCTGTACTGCTGTTGGGTCCTAAGTCAAGGTTGCAGATATTATCTAACGTACTGGTTTTTTACTGCAACTAAATAATGCAGTTAAAGGTCCTGGTATAACACTGGATGTTAGTTTATCATTTACCATATCAGGAATATTTCTAAGACTGCATTTTATTACTTGACAAACATGCTAACGCTACAAGATACTCAGAAATTAGTTCATGCACAACACTAGATTAGACTACTGTAACTGGCTGGTTGTCCTGCTGTCTCTCTAAATAGGCTCCACCTAGTTCAGACTGCAGCAGCCCCGGTGCTTAACAGGCAAAAGTTTGACATTGGCATTTGCACTGAGTCTAGTTTACATTGTTAGTTACAAACTTCACTCAGATCAGGGTTACTGCAAACTCCCAACATCTCTCACAGCTCAGGTGGTGGAAAATAATTTTCTTATCCAGCTCCCAAATTCC